TCTCTCTCTCTCTCTCTCTCTCTCTCTCTCTCTCTCTCTCTCTCTCTCTCTCTCTCTCTCTCTCTGTCGTGTGTCTGCCGGCGATTCCATCGTCGTATGTAAAGCGATTTGCACGTCATTTTGTTATAACGAGAGGCACAAAGAGCGGATGAAAAGTTCTTACAGGGTCATTCTGAACGTCTCGCAAGCTTTACGACGCGTAATAAATACATGTAGTCTGAGGTTGCACCAGAAGTTACATATCGGTGTGTCGGGTCAGTAGTGATTGAATCGCGTTCTCTTAAATTACGGTCTCTTGCACGATTTGCATGAAATTTATGCACACTCGCTCTCCGTAAACTATAGGAGAATTACGCAAAAGGTGATTAAATACACTGTTTCACAGGCCGAAGATGCGAAACGTTGAAAGAAGAAAAGAAGAAGAAGAAGAAAACGGAGAGAACAGAGCGAATACTGTTGATCTTTACGTAATTAAACTCGCGACGAGTACTTTGCGCGAAAACGTCTGAGGAGAGACTGCGAAAACGAGAAAGCTTTTGCGAAGTCAATCGATAGGAAACTGTCAAGAGGGCAAAGATGCACGACGCGACGTTGTCAACAGGCGATTCAGCCTCGCCTTTCTTCTTTCAACGGCAACAGTACACACAGATGAAAACACGACGGCTCTTTCGTCCGTAAATAGATGACCTGAAGAAATATTTACGGATCACTCTCGCGCGCGTACAAGGTTGGCGACGGCAACTCGAAAATATATATGCATAAGTTCATTACATTAGCATTAAATTGACTCGAAAAACATTCTGAATCCTCTGGTAAGTTTAGCATTTCAATCAAGAATATAATCAAGAATAAATTAAAACAAATACTCGATTTGTTTACTAGATTTAGAGTCGAGCCAATGTTTTCTTCGAACAAGTTTCATAATACTCTTGTAAAGAAAATAAATTGTAAATAAAATAAAAGCACATGAGGTAATAAACTGTTTTAAAATTTATGTGATGAGTATATTTTAAGATTATTATCAAGAAAATATTGTTGGAGATAACTATTATTTACAAGAAGGAGAATAATCGCTTTTCTTAGCAGCAGAATGATATCGCTACATACGCGTGTTTATTTGTCGAATTCCTAAATCTAATTAGCAAATAGTACATACCTTTATATTTCATAATATACTGAGAAAAAAATGTTTAGTATTTGTAATTATATTTATATATCAATAATCACTATAAATGATGATTCAGAAAATCATTTTTCATTTAATTAAATTCCATTGTAATATTAGTGATAATAAACTTATTTGTATGTTGCTACCACAATTATTTTACTACAAAAAATATAGTTGGTGTTAAAAATAACCTCAATTTTTGTTTGCCAACCATTTTTTTCTCAGTGTATAATGTAGTAAATCGCATAGGTTTCCAATGAAAATATGTAGTAGCTATGCACTGCTACGTTTAAAACAGTAAATACTCGTAACATGTAACATTCGAATTAAACAGAATGTGTCATTCGCACACGAATTAGGCTGACTCATATTTCTTACAAAGTATTTCACAATACTGTTCACAATATCACAAGCCGATCTGTGTTTGTCATTCTTAAGAATGACTCGTATCGCCAAAATAACCACTGTTTCCGTTACTTGCTTCTGGAAGTTACTTGAACCATAATAGGAAGTTGTTCAATTATAACGGATGTGATAAATATGAAATGTTTGATAAATATACGCACGAAATGACTTTCACTGAATCATATTTCTGAGTCACATAATGTGGTAGCTATTATTAAACAATATTTGACAAATCGTTTGGTGATACATGTCACATAAATTGATAATAGTCACCCAATCTTGGCAACAAATACCAAGCTTTGCTAAAGTTATTTATTCACATCTATCAAATTATTTGATTGTATTCATTTACATGTTTTTTTTAGTGAAAATTGCACTGCGAAAAATACGTAAAAATTTATTTGTAAAATTAATATGTAAAATTAATTTCCGTGAATAAATTTTACATTTCAAAAGTGAATTTCCTCTTTTTTCTCAATATATTTCATCAAAGCTTGATGGTTATTATAAAACCTTTTTCAGTGTACTGTACGATGATATGTAGATACTATGTTATACTGTATATAGCACTATATGATTCCTATTGACAGAATTCGCCGGCGCGTGTGAAATGCCGGAATTCTTTCAATCTTATAGAATTCGCGATATTCCCGGCGCTGAAACGAGAGACGAATTAAATGTCGCACGGCGAGATATCGCAAGTTTATTATTTGTCTTAGCCTTCGACATCCGTGTATATTTGCACGTGTTGTTTACTCACAACGCGGTCGACGGCAGGGGAATTGCTTTCATTCCTTACGCATCAAACGTTAACACAACGCGATATTATTCGATCGAAAACATGCGCGTTCGTTATCGCGGATAAGAGAACGAACGTTCCCTCGGCGTGAAGAGACTGTTCGGAAAATAACTTTCGTCGGCAATCGACACATTCGAGATTAGTTGTTGCATCGACCTCGATTAGCTCTAACTCCGACCAATTGGGTCTTTTCGCATAGCCTACGATATATAGGCTATCCTGGAATCAGCGAAAAGCGGACGAGTACTGCTCGTAAAATTTCGCACAGCTTCTC